GTTAAACGTTACTTTATTAAATGAAAAAAATTGATTTGTTAGGCAAGATGCAATATTGTTAACAGCATCAATACCAGGGGGTACAATTTGACTTATAATTTGTTGTGCAATATTAGTAAAAAAATTGTTAAATTCATCAGCAGTTATGACTGGGCTCACTGTGTCCAAGTACGCCCCTGTTTTCATTTATTATTTCCCACATTGTTTTATTGGGGCAATTTGACTTATTTATTATTGTATCATTGCACTTAATTTTTTTGTTAATAATAGTTTTTTTGTATTTAATTTTTAATATATTTCTTTGAGTTATTAAATGTGAATTTTCTAGAAAAGATTACAAAGCTGCGAAACAATTAATAGGCCTTCTCTCATTTTTTGTAGTTCATTGTCGAACCAGTTGTGATGGAACTTCTTAAAATTATTGCAAATTACAATTTTTTGTGGAAATCATTTTAAAAATAAATTATGTAGGATTGTCATAAATTTAAAGAATAGTAAGTTAGGGTGTATATTTAGGTCTCTTGTGAAATCCCAAGTCTCTTGTTCAAGTAAGTACAATATAGACTTTTTTGTAATTGGTCTGCACAACGTTTTGTTAGAACCAATATACATTAGGGTGGATCTACTTTTTAAGTCCGAGGGCGGGGTTTATTTTTCCAAATCCGAATTATATCCCTCCTCGGCCTAAAAAGTGAACAAGATAACCCATACAGCACACATACGTCCATTGGATATCCTTAGGACGTCAACCCAGTACATAGAGGACGTCCTACGGATATCCGAAGACGTCCGTAGGACTTCCAAACTAGACACTTTTGGTTGGCCTTTGGTTTTCCTATTATGGTCTATTAAAGAGCATCTTAGGACCAAATGTGACCATAATTTGGCTGACAGAAATAAAAAATAAAACACCTAAAATTCCCTAATGTAAATGACCAATAGAATCCAATAAAAAAATAAGTAATTGGTTTGAATTGGTTTGAAATGTGTTTTGGCGCTATGAATCCCTGGCGAAAATTAAATGTGCAAAATTTGTGCAAAATTATTTGAGAACAATGTGCCAACAATGTGCAATCTTTTAAAAAAATGATGTGCGGAGGGTGGGAAATGGAACATATGTTTCATATGAAACAATGTGCAAAACCAAAAATTTAAAAGTGTGAATAATCACTGGACAATGTTCTAAAGGGAACTCCTTTTGATTTTTCACATTGTTTGCACACTGTTTCTTGCCACCTGTGTGCCTATTACAAAAACAGATTCTTTTTAGTGACCTAGTGTTTTAAATTTACACATAATTGAAATATAAATATCCTTATAATAATATTAATCAAATAAATATTTTTTTCAAAAAAATTAAAAAAAAAACCCACAATGTATACATATAGGTCCTACATACTGTATTTTATTAAGAAAAATACCTGCACTGTCAACTCCACGAAGGGGATTGCTTTGATCTTAGCAATAGGCAGAGAAGCGATACATAAGATGGAATCTACCTCACCTTTTAAATAAATGTTGTACTTCAACTCAAGCGATATATATCTAAAATGTGCTTAAACTGTTGAGTGATCGCTAAAACTTTACAAACAATGTGCTATAAAAAGGTGCAATATAAGCGTCATAAATGAGAAATATTAAAGCGTGATGACAGTGTGTATAAAATGTGACATGCGTAGGATGGACTGAAGCTTTGCAAAATGTCTTTAAACAATGTACTAACACTGTGCAAACAATGTGCTAAAATATAATGTAATATAAGCGTGACATATGATAAATAAAAAGCGTGATGTCAATGGACATAAAGAGTGAAAAAACTTTTTATTTCAAAAAGTGTGAAATTACCACAAAGTAGCGTGTATGCACATTGTTATAAAGACTCTAAATACACACTTATTGGACACTTTTCATGCACGCTTTATTTTCGCCAGGGATCACCAATTCATTCCAGTTGAATTCCTATTGGTAATTTCCGATGAAGTCAGCGGCTTGGATTGGGGAATAACAATCCATGCTGATGCTTGTCTCTATTGGCTAAATTCAATAGAGATGCACATGGAATGAATTGGTAATTCATAGCGCCAAACCCATTCCAACCAATTAAAACCAATTAATTTTTTTTAAATTTGGATTAGAAAATACCTACCAGTTTATTTTTCATTCAAAAATAATTTTAGATCCCAGAAGGCTATCTGGGTAAAAACCAATTAATTTTTCACAGAAGAGACAAAAAATTGATTGTTACTGAGTAATTTTATTTCTTTATTATTTTTTTGTGATATATGTACCTATGTATACAATATATTGATACATATAACTTACTATCACAAAAAAATATAAAAAAATAAATAAAATTACTCGGATATAATCATTTTTTTGTCTTTCTTGCAAAGGATGTTTGTAGGCATGGTCGAAGTCGATATTGTTTATGTCAATTTTTTTTATTTTGTCCGCTGTGACAACCATTCTCCATCTCCATCGTCCCTAAACCTTACACATATAAACATTTTTTTAATATCCCGTAACCGGTACGGTACGATTTTCAGGACATAAACGGTACTAAGGGGTCTGAGAGACACCTACCTTTTAAAATTGTTATTTATATTATTTTTTTTATCTGAGGTTTTGGGGATACTAGGGACTATATATAAAGTTAGAATATCACCAAAAATAATACCTAAATAAAAGAAAAATTTAAATAAATAGGTTTTAATCAAAACATGTACAAAAAGTGCAGTAGTGTAAACTTTGTGATTAAACTATAAAAAATATTAAACCAAACAAAATAAAACAATCTTTATTTCGAAGAATATACCTTAAAAAATAACATAAACAAAAAAAATTCTAATATATCTTTTTTTAACAGCAAAAATAACTGCTTCAAACTATAGCTAATTTTTACAAATATTTTTCCATAGTAACTTTTTTCTTTTTTTTTTTCAAATTCTTAAAAACTTTCAAATTCTTTACTATATGACCCTATAAAATTATTTTCTATAGAATCTTCACAGACAAGTCCTAAATCGCTGCTGTGATTATCTTCAACGACATAATCACTATAATGGTTATGTAGTATACTACAGTCATCTATAGATGCTTATGCACTTATATCGCTGTCGATTTCATAAAACCACTATAGTACAGTTTCCTTGAAACCCTTCTTATCACTTTGGACAGGTTTAGAAGGCCCTTGTTGCGAATCCATAACGAATTAATTGTTTTATAAAAATAACGTAAACGGTACGCAGTGGTCTAATAGACACCTCAACACTTTGACTCCTAATAATTTGTCCGTTTGACAATCCAACCTGTTCAAAGTCTAAGAGCATATTGATAATTGCCTAACTTAAAAGTATTGAAAGCGACAGATTTTTAAAACAAAAGGTGAGGGTGTGACAGCGCTTTGTTCGTTGATGAGTGTCTCCCAGACACCACAGTACCGGTTACGGGATATATAACTACACTACTAAAACTAGGCACTTAACACAGAAATCGACTAATAAAAAAAACCGCTAATTAATGGCGTCGAAAGACTTGTTGTTGTTTTTTCTTTATGATGGCGTCTCAACCTCGTTGATTTTGCGCAGCTACACGAGGGCCCTCTTGCGATATTTGTATTGTATTGGGAATACCCAATTAGCAAATTTTTCGAATCTTACACTGGGAATGCCCAATTGAATTCAATTGGAAATTACCTATAGGTAGCTTTATCCAATCCAAACCAATAAAAACCATTCAAATCCTAATTGCACTTTTTCATCATGGAAAATACCAGTAAAAACCAATTTCTGTTTTATATCGCGCCCAATTAAATCCAGTAAGTCCAATTTAGACCCATTGATACCAACCAATACTTCAATTGGTTTCTAAAGGAATTAATCGGTCGTTTACAACAGGGAATCGATGTTTACGAACAGCAAGAAAGGGAATAGGCCTCTAAATCAACGTATCTGCATACGGCCCTAAGTGAAACATTAGGTACTTATTCAGATATCAAAAGAATTTTTATATCGGACGCAATCCAATTTTTTGCCACAAATAAGTACTTTTGACTTTTCTGCATTAAGAGGCAGGCAGACAATGACTACTCGAAGCTTTAAATATATTATAACAAGATTGTAAATGATTTTGTTCAATGGTAAATACTTTACAATACTAACGGTTGCTTGATCATTTTTTAACGACGTTATACACCCAAGTACTTAAAAGTATTCCTTCTTCTAAAGCACGATTTTCGCAATAATATATATTATTAAATGACTGAATTAGAATCTAATTTCGATTTAACAACATTTAAATTTACGATAGTTTTTCTACGCGCTGTTAATTTAATTGTTATTTTTCTAATGTTTTGAACAGGTGTTATTAAAATAGAACATTGTTTAATCTAGGTTTTTCTAATAAATTATAATTATTGTATTCTAACTGATTACATAAGCAATTATAAAAGGGAATAAGTTTGTTATCGATAATAAAATTTGAAGTTTCGTAGTCTATCTTCGCATAAAAATATCGAAGAATTCGTTTCCTAAAACTCCATCGCAATTTATTGAAAAATTATCATCAACTATTTGAAACAAATGGGTTTGTTGTAATAACTAGATATTTTAAAAACTGCCCCTTCTGTTAAAAGGCTGTCGTTGGTTATACCTACATGAAATATTTGTAAAGATTTATAAATGTATGCCAATTTAATTAAAACTGATTTTTTTTAAATATTGACGGTATCTATAAGTACCACTTACCGACGCGTCGGATCAATGTCGACATACGGTGACCGACTTTTTTTTTCAGTAGGGTTGTATTGCATACGCTATCTCTTTTCGCATGGGACTTTTTGGTGTCCATGATAGTACCTATAATATCAAGAAAAAGTAAAAATGTCATGCCACGGTCATTTTATATTTTGCATTTTATATACCTACATTATTTATGTAGGTATTAAAAATAACATTTATTAAAGCGTGCCAAATGTAACTTATTGGCGCGCCATGGCGTAACAAAAATAGACACAGAAACAACTACGTATTTAGTTTAATGCAATTATGCTTTATTAATTAACAAATATTTATCCTAAGTTTCTTGAATCATGTTTTACAGGAAATTATTATTTTTACTAGTTTATATTGTATGTGTTGTTCGTCCAAATGATATTAACATAGGTAAGTAAACAAATTACCTTAGACACCAAAACTTATGAACTGTGATAGCTATTTTATTTGTTTTTTCTTTGAATTTAAAAATTATAAATGCATTTATGTTAAATTTTTGCTTGCAATGACATTGAAACATTTTTATAAAAAGAATTTGTTCAAATATAAATATGTGGTAGGTACTTGTAGCATCAATAGTATATTACACTACAAGGGCAGAAAGTGTGAGATTCCTGCACTGCCCGTGTAGTGTATACTATTTCTCTTACTACCTCGGCCGAAAATACAACCCAGCCGAAAATACGGGAAAAAATTAAATGTGTATATCGAAACATATTGATGCCTGCCCAAATTTTGAGGTTATATAAGTGTCGAAATCAGAGTTGCATATGTTGAGCACACGACTAAAAAATTTTTACTCCCCCTATTATAGAGTGTGCGCGTATAGCTTGACCAATGCAAGAAACGTAAACTTTCTGCCGTGGAATCGGGGACGAAACAACGTATTTTCAGTCGAGGTAGTAAGAAAACATATTTTCATCATGTCGAGCTATTTAATTTTCTTAAAAAACGTTTTTCTCCCCATTGCAATTATTAGTTATTAATACAGACTATACTTATAGATACAAATAGTTAAGGTCTTAAAATAAAAAGAATTCTAAAATTACTGGTTTGGATTTTTCCAAAAAAATCCCTCCACTTTTTAAACAGGGTAATCTAAAAATTATTTTTTCTTCCTGACACATGAAAATTTTGTTTTTTAGGTTGAAAAAAAATTCCCTGAAAATTTGAGCCCTTAACTTTTATTCTAAGTACTTCCTTTTTAATTTTGTAGTTTTTCCATATAAAAAGCATGTATTTTTAATCATTTTTACTTTAAATTTCTATATTTTGGCTGGGTTTTGAATTATAATTTTTATCACCATAATTTCCTGCATAGTATTCACGGTTTTTGAAATGCCCTGCATCAATTTTGTTTTTGATTTATTTACGTTGATTGTAGTAGCTCCAAAAGAAGTTTTTTCACTTTTTCTCACATATTTTTGGGAAAATCGAGCGAATGACTGGTTTTACCGAAAAAGTTTAAATAAAAAAGTTGTAGGAAATTTAATTTTTGACAAAAAAGGTTCTTACGTTCATATCACTAAAGTGCTTTGTTTAAGAGATATAAGCAATTCAATAACCAAAAACAAAGAAAAAATAGGTTTTATTGAAATTTATGTAATTTGATTCAACAACTATATATTGCTTATATCTCTTAAACAAAGCACTTTAGTGATATGAACGTGAAAACCTTTTTTGTAAAAAATTAAATTTTCTATAACTTTTTTATTTGAACATTTTCGGTAAATCCAGTCATTCGCTCGATTTTCTCAAAAATATGTGAAAAGAGTGAAAAAACGACTTTTGGAGCTACTACAATCAACGTAAATAAATCAAAAACAAAATTGATGCAGGGCCTTTCAAAAACCGTGAATACTATGCAGAAAATTATGAGTATGAGTATGAGTATGAGTATAAGAGACGTATAACCAGCCCCATTTCCTCTTGACTCTCGAACCCCGTACAGGCCTATGTTTACTTACGCCGATTTTTGTTCTTCCCCAGCAACTGCACGGCTTCACCTGTGTTTGCTGGGTGCGAATGTCCATTGCGTTCCGTACTGTCCCCTATTTGGGGCTCGAGAGCGAGAGGCGAATAGTTATAATAGCCGTTCCCGGGTTCACCGAGCCTATGCTATACGCTCGGTGGGGTATGGATGAGGGACGGGAGGGAGTTGGTTTTTGGGGGACAATTACGCCGACTTAAAACTAAGTACGACGCGGAATCCCCCTAGACCAGTCGGTTAGTATTACTCCAAACATTTGGGATTACTATTTGGAGTTGGGGAGTTGTTATTACGCTGCAGGGGTGTAGTTTCCTAGTCGAGGTCTTCGTCTTGTTCAATATTGTCATTGTCCGTGTCGGATAGTTCCTGAACTTGGTAAAGTGTGTCGGTTGTTTTTTTTATTTTATTTTTATTGTTGCTTAGTTGCTCCCAACTGGTCTTGTTAATTTGTGAGAAGTGCATGTTTTTTGCTAACGTGTCATGAAATGTGAAGCATGGTCTCCCGACTTTTTTGTCGTTAAGATCTAGTTTAAGGTGGCTTGTAGTATGTTGTTGCGTTGTCTACGAGTGACGTGGGCCCAGTATTTTAATTGGGCTAATTACCGTGGTCGTTTAGGTACGCATTATTTGTCCTGTTTTGTCACTTATGTGTTCATAACGACTGCTTAGTTCATTTATTGCGTCCTCGATGTAGGGTCTGTACGTTCCTAGGTTATTACGTAAGTGGTTGTTTAATTTTGTCTAGTGTCTGCTGTTGTTTCAGTTTCGCGTAGCGAACCTATCACCTTGTTGAACAGCTGGTGCGATAAGGCAGTTCCCAGTGCACTGGGAACTGCAGTGGGGGTATTTTTTTTTTACTTTTACTATAACGTCTAATGTGTTTACAAATTCCATGGAGTTTGATTAAAGTGCTTTTTTACTTTGTTTATGTTTTCTTAGTTTATGTGTTATTTATGTCTTAGGTGTCAAATTTATTTGGTCTCGGTTTGTTATACTTGAATTGTTTTGTTGACAGCTTTATTGCCCTGTTCAACTTTGGTGTTTGTCCGCGATCGGCTGTTTGGTTTTTCTTGGAAAATTGACTTTTTATTTTATTTTGTTGCCGATGATTATTGTTTTTTGTAGGGATTAGGCAATGTGCCTTGTTTAGTTTAATTTGCAAATTATGTGTTAGGTCATGCGGATACTTAGCAATTATTTGCAGGTGGCCTGATCCTCCCTTGTTTGGCCTCTTTTGATTGGCCAGTGAAAATCGTCCTGTTGACAGATGGTGCGACCGCTCAGGCACTGACACTTGTCACTTAACTCTTTCTTGTTACTTAATTCTTTTGACCGTTTCACTATGTTCGTTTGCACTTGTCACTTCACTCTTCCTTTTCACTTGGCCCTTAACTAATTATTGACCGTAGGGTAGTCTGTACTCACTGTATTTGTTACACTATAGTTGTTTGCATTATGAGGGCTTATTTGTTGGTTATGGTTTTAACGTTTTACGTTTACTCTCTACATCGCTACATCGACTTACTCACTCGAGGGCTGGGACGAGACTGCGTTAAATACAGCCAAGATATAGACATTAAAAAAAAAAGTAATTGAAATACAGCCAAGATATATAGACATTTAAAAAAAAGTAATTGAAAATACATGCTTTTTAAATGGGAAAAATTCAAAATGAAAAAGGAAGTATTTAAAATCAAAATTGAGAGCTCAAACTTTGAGGGATTTTTTTTTCGATGTAGAGAAATATCGTATATCGTTTTGGTTTTTAATATTATTTGACCAGTCCAGAACGGTTCAGAACTTAAAACTACTACGACCACAGTTCTCTTTAAACAGTTTAGAATTTTATAACCTAAAAAAATTTCTTGCAATGATACAATGCAAATTGTAAATTTTAAATTACTTAATTATTGTTGATAGTGTCATTTTTGTAATTAAAGTGTCTCGATTTTTTTGACAAAATCTGGTAACGGCTTCAATTCGTGTCGCAATACTTCATCCTCATGGAAATGGCCAACTTTCTCAATCGTTGAACTATATACTATTTTTGTTCGAAGTGTCTTAGAGACTTAGTGGATCAAACAGAACTCTAATGATCATTGTTTTAAACAATTTTTAAACATTTTGGTATTTAGAATAAAATTATATCAATATAGAAAAACTTCTAATCTTACTAAACAGCAATTGTCAAAAATATTTTTTTAAACAGGTGCTTTAACTTCACATATGCGAATAGATAGAAAAAGCGTCGCTCGGAAGAAGCGTTGTACAATGCGTATAAAGCTAAGAACGTCGACTCACGTGACTTAAGTCACGTGAGTAATGCACGTGCACGGTTGATCAACCTGCGCACAACTTAATTTTGCGTTCTTGGTCATCGTACACGTGCGACGTTCTTATGGACCACACTCCTCAATATTTCAATAGAATTGAAGCTTCTCCTTTTTAGGTAATTACCTTAATTCCTTTACTTATTTTTATCATTACTGTTTTTAATCGTTAATTAGGTGCTAATTGAAGCGAATATAATTGATGAAAGTAAGACCATAACTACTATATTTTTCTTTATAAATAACCCTATAGGTATTTATAGTTATAATATTTTTACCTTCAAAATTGTTGATAATAATTCTTATTTTATTTGGCATGTACTTTTTTATCAGTTATTGATAGCTTAAGTGGTAATTATTTTTTAGTAAGGCCAACTTGGGAACGTTACTATTAAAAAATCAATCTGAATCTGTAAATGTTTGGATTTTTATTAATTTTTGGTAAAAAAGATGCTCAAAAGTTTTGTGGTATATGACCCTTACTTACAATCGGGTTTTTTGCCCAAATATTGTGTCTTTTTCATGCAAACCTTTTTAAAAAAAAAATTATAAATTATTGTAGGAGGAATGTTTGGTGGTAATGAAGACAATGAAAAGGCGTTTACTTATGCCATAGAGCAAGCAAATCGAAATTTGGAAGGAAAAAACATGAAAGCACTTATAGAAAAAGAATCCTTTGAAAACGCGCAGGGTCCTTTTAACTCGATGATGAAAATGTGTCAGTTGCTGAACGAAGGAATTGTAGCCATGTTTGGACCCAAGCTGCAAGAAAACATCGACATTATACAAGCGATGTGCGATGAAAAGGAAATTCCTCACATTCTAACATGGAAGAATTATAGATCGATTAGAACAGGATCAATTCTAAATTTTTACCCACATCCTCCCATGCTTTCCAAAGCCTACACCGATATAATTTTGAGCTTGGAATGGAAAACGTTTACTATTTTGTACGAAGACGATGAGAGCTTTCTTAGTTTAATTGAAGTCATAAGGGAACTTGAAGCCAATAATATTATCGTTAACGTTAGACAATTGGATAAATACCAAACTGGAAACTATAGGTATATAGAAATTGTTGTGCTTTATTTAAAATTAAAAAAAAATTGTTTTTGATATCATCAGCTTTGTAAAGAAATTTTACATTTTACTGCGCTTAAGAATTCAAAAAAAGCGCATTAGTATTATTTTATTATGGCGACACAAAGAATGAAAAGACAGACTAATTTAAATTTATCTAGAAATAAATTTAACAAGTCTAAAGACGCTTAATGTTTATATTCCTGGCAAATGCCACTTTATTAAAACATAAAATCTTATATTATGATTTAGCCTTCATCCTTCACTATGATAAAGTTAAAGTTTACTTATTGGGGAAAGTAAGTGTTTACACAGCTAGCCTTTCAAAACACCCAAAAATGGCTGGGCAGAAACAATTACTATTTACACGTTTATTTTCCGCCAGCTCGACAGTGCGTAAAGTAAATGCATGCGGAAAGTACCTACCTATAGAAAAAATATTTTACCTAAAATGCGGAAAGTGAGTATAGAACAAAAATGTATACCTATAGGTATACATTTATAGTACTTCTTTTATTGTAAGGTGCACAGATAAAAAACACCTGTTTATTGTATCTAAAAAACGGTATTAGGAATTAAAATTAATTAAAACTGCAATTTTCCCTACAGCACTCAACATTCCTGCAATGTTGCAGAAAGATTCCAATATTATAGGCAACGTTGCATAATTGCATGAATGTTGCTAAACATTGTAATGTAATATTTTTTTATATATTACAATAAGGGTTAAGACTGGCCATCTGGTTTCAAATTTTGCCCATTGATGACTATTTTATTGACAATTGGAGTTGGCCACTTTTTAAATGCAATTACTTTTTTTATCCCAATATTTGCTGTGCAATATTTTCTAAACAGTATACGTTTACGTAAAAAAAACAATTTTGTCCCAATATTTTTTAATTTTGAATTATATACTTGGCAAATTTATCATACCATTTTTTAAATTTACTTTAAATTTTTTTTAAATTGTGGATTATTTTAGATATTTAAAAAAAATTGATTTTTTGAAATTATTATTATTATATAAATTTTGAATATTTTAAAATTAAGATTTTTGAAATAGTGAATCCGTCATTTTGTTTTATAAAATTGGAAAAATGGATATAAAAAGTAGCACTTTCTGCACTATTTACGTAAATAACTATTTCATCCATTAGAAACGTTGTTAAACGTTACTGATTCGCCAAATGCAGCACATTATAGATGTGGGTGTCAAAAGAAAAACCTTTTGAGTATGAGTATAAGAACGTATGGCAGGCCCCAACGGCAACGCCTTACACTGATCTTCCAGGGTTATTTAACCCTTCTCTGTTCTCCTTCGTATCCCGCCACTGCATAGCGCTACCTGTGTAGGGCGGATCCGGATTATCACCCCGGTAGGTAAATCTTCCATAGGAGATCGTGGATGATAGTGTCGATGGTTAAGGCCACTCCCGGAAATTTGTCGCCGGGTCGGACCATACGCTTGATTTAGGCTAGTGAAATGAGGGACAATATTTTGGTTTTTGGGGGCTATAGTTATAGCAGATAGTGCAGCCACATTATTTTTCCTTTTTTCTAGTTTAACGCAATGGCTGCGTGCGGTCTTCTTGTTTGCTTTTTATGGACTCTTCAAAAACAGCACACCAATCGGCTCCGGACTAATCTAAATATTTATCAGTATCTGGTCTTTTTAAAACCTCATTTCTATTAATTGGAACTAATCCACATGCTCTAAAACCAGATATCGCATTTTCTTTGAGATTTGTAATAGATTCTAAAGCTTTTTTCAGTTGTTCGGGAAAATGTGGTTTTGGCAGCAAAGTGTTCCTCCAAGCTCGTTTGAAAGGGCGAAAATATGAAACGTCCAAAGGCTGGGTCAAGTGCGTGCTATTCGGAGGAAGTAAAACGAAGCGGATATTATGGTTTTCAAACTTTTCTAGAACGGAAACCGAAGTGTGGCTAGCCAGGTTGTCACCGATAATCACTTTGGGGTCATCCAGTTTACGTAAATATTCAAATGCAACTTTATTGAACCAGTTTTCAAAAATGGCACTGTCAAACCAACCACTTGAGCTACAATTGTATACTGGACCTTTTGGGCCATTTTTAGTTCAACTATCATAAAAGTGTTTATAAACAATATACACTGTTATTGCAAACATAACAGAATGGCTGCTCTTTGTGGCATCGAATACCCTCTCAGTGTGTTTTGTACCCTTAAGAACAAAAACTTTTTCCTGGCCGGGATCGCCGCTTACGTTTGTTTAATCGTTATTTCATTAAATTTGTAGGTGGAATGTCTTTTAAAGTTTCTTTGATGTGATCAAAATAGTTATTAATAACCGCTACACTAACTTGAGCACGAGACCGCTTCAAATTTTCACATAATCTTAAAGTCAGTCTTTCTTTGTTTCTTTTTAAAAAGTTATTTATCCACTGTCGACCTGGCAAGTTATTTTTAAACCGTGGCTTCTCGATCAAGGAATTGCTTAACTAATCGTCTAACATTCATAGGAATAAAAGGCATATGCGTATATACACCATTTAGAATATGTTCTTCATCTCTTGGTGAAAACTCTGTCTGTCCTCCAGGATTTTTACCATTTTGCCCTTTGTACTTACGGTGGATTGTTGACTTTGGGATGCCATACTGCTCAGCAGCTTGGCGCACTGATAACGTAAAGCCCTTTCTAAATCTTCTTCATTAAAATCTTTAAACTTCCTGGCCCCACTGTGTGGTTGCGATTGTTTATTTTCGCTTAGAACATTTGAGGAGTCAGCCACTTCGGTTGGTTACCCAATTTATCGTCCCTTTAATGACTTAGTAATCTACAGATGTTTATTTCTTTAGGACCTTGAGTGAATAATGGCTATGTGTGCCCTTGTGTTTATAGTTTTTTGAATGCTTTATATTTTAAACTGTTTAAGACTAATTATTTTACCTGGTGGATTCTTTGTTAGTTAGTAGTAGTAGTAGTACGGTTGGGTAGGATCGAAGCCTGACAATTAGACTCTATGGTCCTTTTTATCTGCCCCTCCTAAACCAACCAAACTACTCCTCATCCTCCTCTTCGCCCATACCAGCCCTTTCGAATCTTCCAGACCTTCTTATAAAGGTCAGGATATCCTGCCACGCAAGAGAGGCCAACTTCCCTTTGGAGTGTCATCACTCCAAAGATTTTATACTTTAGTCTGCCGAGGGCCTCACATTGTCCCAGGAAGTGAAAGGAGGTTTCATCCTCCCTTCCGCATTGGGTACAGGAGGGGCTGGTTTCTCGTGAGGTGTTTCCTTAGGCCATGACCCGTGAGTATGTTCACAAGTGGGCCCAAGGAGGTTCGGCTCCTACCTAGAAGCCAGATGGATTTGGGTTTGCTTAGGGTGACCAGGAAATCCCTGGTCTGCCTACAGCCACCGCTTCTTCTCCAGCTTTCGTTCGCCCTTTTATCAGCCCAATTATTTAGGGCTGATTTGACCTGCTTTCTCGTAATTCCAAAAATTGGTTCGGGTCATACACAGGGGGTTTCAGATCCGAATCTGGCCAACTCATCAGCCCGTTCGTTACCTTCCACCTGGTACCCATACGAGATGCACTCTTTTTGTACTTGCTAGCTTTTCCAGCGCTTCCTCACACTCTTGAACCAACTTCGTGGTTCTCGCTGCCCAAAGCGCTTTCAGAGCTGCTTGGCTATCTGAGCAGATGTATATATCTGTCTCACTGCCTGTTCTTAAATCCTCACAGTTTGCAACCTCAAGTATGGCATACACTTCCGCTTGAAATACAGTGGTATCAGTGGCGGCCGGTGGATTTTGGGTATACCAATATTTCAGTTATTAGACATGGGACCCACATCAAATTTTTAATAGTTTATAATGACATTAAATAGACATGTTCGGCGTAAACAGAATTTAAATTGAAGTTTTCGAAAAAAAGTTAGTTTTTTCTGTCGCCTCACCCGCCTCCAGGCCCCCCTATTTAAGATAATTCAAATTTAAGTGGTGCAATTTATTATCTTAATAATAATAATAATAATAATAATAATAATGTTTATTAATCAATTCAAATAATCACAATATCAGAAATACAGCAATAATAATAAACATAATACACCACGAGATATTGTAATAATATCTGTGTGTGGGCTAAACATATACACATAAAAGGTAAAAATATAAAAATAAAATATCAATGGATAAATAATTATAAACAACAATACACGAACTTATCTACAAGGGGTAGTTAATTAAGTACATAATCAGCAATTCATACAATCAGCTCTCGTAACAATGAGCCAGAATTACAAGCTAAAATCAGGAAATCAATTTCAATATCACAGAGTCACTAATAAATTATTGATTATTTTTTCTATCGATTTTTTGGTGGATATATGAGCGGTCATTTTCTTTAATAAATTTTTTACAGTTTGATTTAAAAATATGGATAGATTTGCTATTTCTAGTTTCTTCTGGGAGAAGGGAAAATATTAAGGGAGATAAATATTTAAAATTTCTTTGGCCTATGGTTTTCCGGGGCGTTTACGTTTGGAACATGTCGGTTTTCTTTTTGGTATTGTAGTTAGGGTTTGTTATTTTCAGATCTTTTTTTTTTGTATTGATACATACACAAGGCAAAGAAGAATAGTAACAACTGTTGTCGCGGATCATACATCCCGGTTTCTAAAAACAATTGTTCAGTTGGAATTAAAAAGGTTTTGTTGTACAGTATTTTAAGGAGTCTTTGTTGGGTAATTATTAAATAATTAAGGTAATTATTATTAACTCCTCCCCATCCTAAAATTCCATATTGATTGGATATGTGATTGTGCTAGAGCATAATAAGTTGCATTTAGTGAGGAGATTGGTAATACTTCTTTTAAAAAATTAAATAGGGGAATTAGAGTTCTTAGCTTCTTTATTAAAAACTTGTGGTCAATATATATTCCAAGGTTTTTAGCTTTGCTAGTTTTATTTATACGGATCACCCCACTATATGCAATGATGTCA